AATTATAATGTTTATTTTTATATCGTCCTCTTGAATACAAAGCTAAAACCGGTGCTGCTACTCTTGGCAAATGTAGGGTCGCGCGATTCATCATGGCTCTTGTTCTATGGCAGCTGGCGGTGATCGTGTACGAGTTCATTTGGACCGGCGAGATTGGCCACCTTCAAAAGATCTCGCTCCCCCGCTGAAGCGGCGAAGGTGTAGAAGCCGGACTTTTAACCAAATCCCCTTGCAAAATAACGCCACTATCAAAAAAGCAATGGCTGGAGCGCTATCATCTAGATTTTTTCTCAGCATTATGTATCAGCAATTGCATTTACATTTACACTTCACCACTAGCGACTCCCCGGTTACTGCGATGCTGCAGCATGTGCGACGATTAGATGTGCATGGGAATAGTAGCAGCGGGGGATCATTGCAGAAATCTCCAGACATTGTCCTTCTGGAGCTTGCCTGGAGCTGCCGGGTGGTTGCCATTGGCTCTGCGGTCCATGTAGCTGAAGGAGTGCGTCGCGCTCTGGACCATATTCGGGAGGAAGGGGGAGGTGGCGGCAGCAGTGAACCGCATGAAAAAAAAGCCGTGCTTGGTGCTGAGCTCTCAAACAAAAAAAAAAAAAGCCATCGTGCTGGGTGGGGGCACCATTCAAACTTCTCTTCTCTGCTCTCCATTCAGGCTTTTCTCGCATTCGTTCTCTTATTCCGGTGCACAAAACATCCTCTATCTTCCCGAACTGGCAGGCCATTTGTGACGCGTCAATTCAGATAGCCCAGATTCAGCAACCTCCCTGCTCGTCACAGTCCCTCCTTCTATTTAGCCCCCTTTGAACAAGCAGAGACATGAGAGACTTGCATCCTCCACCTCCAAAGCGGATGGAGCCGGGCGCGACTGACAGCCACGCGTGGATATTCTCAGACAGGTGCTGATTCGGCGGAGCCCTCAGTACAGAACCATCGGCGAGAGCAGACTCCGCCGGCGCGGCCACTGACGGCTGGGCGTTCGCAGCGGCCTCCGTCGGTAGCCGGCAGTGGGCCATCGAATTTCCCAACATTCCATATGGGCGCAACAACACGGATACCGTCTGGAGGCAGTGCGATGCGGCCGACGGCGTCAGCACGGAAATGCGGCGACAGATGACAGCAGCAGCCTCTGCGGCATCAGCCTCGTCTGCAGCAACTAGCGAGAGATCGCTTAGGCGATACCATTCAGCAGGGATCTCGCGGTCAAAGTCACCAGCACCAGCGCTAGCGCACAACAGCCCATCGGCGGCGACAAAGGCTGCGGGACGGCGTGAGCTGGGAATTGCGGGCAGGCAGCAGTCGGAGGCGAGTGGAATGCGTAAGCCTAAGAAACACGCCCAGCCAGACCGACCTGCGGGCGCATGCACTGCCGAGCCCGACAAGCCGGTCGTCGGCCAACCCGACGCCGCTGCCGCATTCCTCTCTCAGTCATGGTAGCCGCGTGCCATTCGCGGACCAGTGCGCCGGGCAGAGGCATCAGGCCAACAAGTCCCAGTTCGGCGTTCCGATTCAGCACGCAGCGGGAGCCATCACCGGACACATGTGCCATCAGCTACCGCGCGCCGTTCGCGGATCCCAACTGTACCAGGAGCCAACAGGGACAGCCTATACAACCAGTACATGGAGCAGAAAGACGAGCTTCGAAACATGAAGGACATGAACGAGACGCTAGTCAGGGATATCAAGTCGATGGCCACAGTCAGCGAAAGGCTTAACAGCGAGCTCCAGGAGGTGAAGGAGGATCTCGAGGAAGCGAACAGGCGGGCGTGCAGGGCAGAGGACCAGTTTGCAGCGCAGCACGCGGTTGAGATGGCACTGAGGAGAAAGATTGAGGCGCTCGAGGTTGTGGTGATGAGCGGGCCGAGCAATGGCAACGGGCTGCCGTCGCCCCACAGGTCGCAGAGCCGCGCAGGTGGAGGACCACGAGAGTCCGATTCCCGCCGACGACTGGCGCGAGGACGCGACGCTTATTCGGCGCGGCATAGAGAGCATTCACGCGTCATGCACCATGGCGCAGCCCGAGTCGCAGATGGATCGCGAGAGCCGCCAGGGGCTGCGGTTTGTCGAGCAGCAGTTCCTGGGCCGCGACCTGCCCGACCCATCTGGCGGCTCTCCTGTGCGCAGCAGGAATCTCGGCAAGTCGCCCAAGGTGCTGACGCCACAGCAGCAGAGGCGCCTGGCCGACGAGGATCTGGTGGCGCGGCGGCGGTCGACGATGCTGTTTGAGGGGCTGATCCAGCCGTCGCTGGGGCTGAGTCGCGTGAGAGCCTGGCAGCGCCGCTGCAGGAGTCATCGTCTGGCCAAGGCACGTGCCTGCGGTGCAAGCAGCTGGAGACACGCTGCAGACAGTCGTTATCGACAATGACTATTACCGCGAGGCCAACACCAAGCTGCAGACAACGTGCGTGATGTGGTGTCGCGCACAACGCGCTGGTACGCCTGTTTGAGCGCGAGCGCCAGAGACGCCGCGAGGCCCGTGCCGAGAAGCTTGCTGAGGAGTCGCGTGTTGCCGCCCGCGACCGGGCGATCATCGAGGCACAACAGCGGGCGGAGATCGAGGACAGTGATGGACTGGCAGGCGAGTTTTCGCGCGGACTGCACATCTCGTCTCCCAAGCGCGTGCGTGCCATGGGTGACCCGGCTCAGATCCTCACCGATCGTGTCGCCGCCCCAGTGAGCCACTCCCATCTTTTTTCTACATACCACCTAAATTTATTGCAAATGTTTGTGTGCTTCTCAGTTTTGCCATTCGTGGCACGCTCCTTCTCAAAGTACTTGGCAACCAGGAACGCAATGTCCAGGCTCTGTTCGTAGTTGAGCCGCGGGTCGCAGAACGTCTGGTAGTTGACCGGCAGGTCCTTGGCGTCCAGCTCCTGCGATCCGCCGGTGCACTCGGTGACATGCTCTCCAGTGAGCTCCAGGTGAATCCCCGATAAACGGCTGCCGAGCTCACGGTGGATTGCAATATTGCTGGTGATTTCGCTCACGATCGCGTCGAACGAGCGGGTCTTGTGTCCTGACGGTGCCGTAGTCGTGTTGCCGTGGCATGGATCGCAGCACCACACGGGGCGATGCTGTGTAGCCTGCACTGCCTTGATATGGTCTGGCAAGAACTTGTCGATCTTGTCGGCGCCGTATCTGGTAATCAGCGTGACGCGTCCCGGCTCGAGCAGCGGGTCAAGGATATCCAGTACACGTACAAGTTCGGCAGCATCCATGGTCGGCCCGACCTTGACGCCTACCGGGTTCTTCACGCCGCGGAAGTACTCGATGTGGGCGCCATCGAGCTGGCGAGTGCGGTCACCGATCCAGATGAAGTGCGCCGACAGGTTGTACCAGTCGCTGACGGCTGGCAAGGTGGCGTTCCGGGCGTCTGCGGGCTTGTGTGGCCGGAGGGCGCAACAAACACATTCTCAGGCGCCATTTGGGCCACGGGCCGGGTTAGCGCCTGCTCGTAGTCGAGCAACAGCGCCTCGTGCGACGTGTACATGTCCACAGTGTTTAGGGCTGACAGCCGGCTGCCGTCAGCGCCAATGACCTTCATGAAGCCCAGCGCGTCGGTGAGCTTGTTTACAATCATCTGGTAGTCACGGCGAATATCCTCGCGCCTCACATCCGAGATCCCATGCCTTCGGGTGGTGGATGTCGGCGAACCCGCCCGACAGCAGCAGCCTGACATAGTTGACTGTCGACGCCGAGTGGAAGTACGCTGACAGCAGGCGCTGCGGATCCGGCTTTCTGTCCTTCGGGTCGATGCTGTTGACGTTGTCGCCGCGGTACGACATGATTTTCTCGCCATCCACAGTCTCGAACGGCGACGACCGGGGCTTCGCGTACTGCCCGGCCATGCGCGCAATACGCACAATCGGCAGGCGCATGCCCCAGATCAGCACCAGGCTCATCTGCAGCAGCACTTTGAGCTTGTCCTCGATGGCTGTCGGGTTGCAGTAGTCGAAGGACTCGGCGCAGTCGCCGCCCTGGAGGAGGAATGCGCGGCCCTCGCCACATCTTTCAGTTGCGCGCGCAGCCGGTCGATTTCGGCCGCGGATACAAGCGGTGGCAGGTTGGCGATGCGGGAGAGCACCGTGTCCAGCTCCTGCTTATCTTCGTACACGATCTTGCTTGATCGGCTTGGTCTTCCATGACTCTGGCGTCCACTGCTCGGTCTGCTGCGGTCGCTGACATTGCTGTTTTATGGATATGTGGCAAAGAGATGTAATAAAATGGAGGTGTGAAGTGACTAGCTAATGGTAAGTGAAGGAGAGAGCAAAGGGTGCGCGGGGTGCTAGCCAAGGCTTTATACTTTTTGTTTGTGCTCCGCCTTTACGAAAGACCGTCTGGCCTGAGATGTCCAGATGGGCCGCCCTCATTGGTCCATTCGGCCGTGGTAGCTGCTAGAAACCCGTCCTACGCGCACTGATGCGTCACAAGCTTTGGTATCTCTATTGACCAGTCCAAAGCGCACCTGGCCAAGGCTTCTCCGCATAGGTGCCACTCAAGAAAGCTCAAAATCAGCAGTAGCATAGTGTGGCCATCTTGCTGGGCAGTACATCTTGCAACTCATGGCTCAATGGTGGCTGAACAGCCGGTGGCATATATTGCGCTGCTCCTATTTAAATGCCCAGGCGGCCATCACCGCATTCACTCAACAATATATCACTATACTTGCTCCCCGTTTGTGCTGCCCAAAGCGACTATTGTCAAGGTCTTTTCGCTTTGGAAGCCGCACCGCCTCATTGTCATGAAATTGGTAGGTCTTGTTTCGGAGATCAGGGCGGAGCTTGCCATCATCTTTTGCTGATCTTCAATCCAGATGAATATTAGCTACACGCGTGCGCATTCACAGATATCAGGTGACGATTATTTGGTGAAGCTAAGCTCACAGCATGTTGCCGTAAGGATTAGCATCAGCAACATTGAATGATCCTCACATCGACAATTGGTGAGTATATTTGTTGCTTGGGCCTTAGTCTGTGCCCTCGTTATGGGTCGTAGTAGACCTTGCACTCGAGGAACCGGAACTTGGGCAGCGCCTTGTAGTGCTCATCGTACTTGGGCTTGAGCGCATCCTTGAGGCTCTTGACCTTGCCGTCCTTGTGCAGCGTGTTCCACGGGCGCTGGCACACATCACCCTTGCAGTCATGCAAGACATTAAGCAGGGCATCGAGGCGGTTGAGGAAATTGGGATCCGTCCGGTTGTACTTGTTCACCAGCTGGTACGGGTCGCTGTTCATCTCGTAGAGCTCGTGCTCGCGTGTGCACCATGCCGAGTAGTAGATGTTGAAGTCCTTGCTCACAAGACGCACAGCCTTGTACGTGTTGTTGATGTGGGTCTCCTTGGAACCACCCTCAACAAGTTATTGTTCCAGAACTCGATGGCAAACGATTCAGTCTTCTTCGGGTCAAACAGTGACGTGGCATCCAGTCCGTCCGGACGCTCAATGTTGGCGAGGTCAAGGACAGTGGCAGCAAAGTGTGACTAGTAGGGGCTGTCGTTGATCTGCTTCTTGGCGATACCAGGTCCGCGGATGATAAACGGAATACGCACATCAGTGTCATACGGAGTCTGCTTTCCAGCAAACATGCGGTGGTGGCCGAGATGTAGCCGTTGTCGGTGGTGTAGATAAAGTAGGTGTTGTCAACCAGGTTCTTCTCTTCCAGCTTCTTGAACACCGCCTCGACGAGCTCGTCAGTGGCCTGCAGCGAGCGCAGACGCTGGCGGTAGTGCTCGTCAATGGCGTTGATCTGGAGCGGCGACAGCAGCGGCAGTCCTTGACCCAGCCGACCTTGTCCTGCACCAGCGGGTTGAAGTTCGGGTCGCGCGGAACCTTGGCATCCGGGAACAAGTGTTTATGACGCTCGGCTGGGCGCGGTGGGTAAAGTCCCCAAATTCTTGACCTCATCATGCGGAGCAGTCGTGAGATGACAAACAGGAACGGTCGTCGCTGTTGGCGATGTCGTCGATACGTGCCAGAGACTTCTCCAGGATCAGATCGGTCTGGTATACGCCTGGGTGCTTTTCCAGCGGACCGCCGTTAAGCGAGAAGATGGGGTTCGTAAAGTTGTAGATTCCAGGGAGATCAGAGGCTCAAAGTGCTCCCAGCCCTTTGGTGCCGCCGTGTTGTTGGCATCGAGTCCGTTGATAAACTTGCCAATGTAGTGGTTCTTGTAGTTCTCTGCTGCAGCCACAGCGG